TCGCCACGCTTTGCATTGATTTCACATCCAGCGTGAACCCAGCATGAGGCTTAAGAGCAACATGGATGGATGATTACACAGACTGGGCCTCATAAAAAACACAACTAATCACAGTCATTTTTAAAGTACATGTTACTCTCAATGGAGCCGTCCTACTTTTTTTTTAATGATACAATAACAATATTGTAGAGGATACATTTCTTATCAACAAAATATTTTCCCAAAATGTCAAAACAAGTCTCTCAGTGTAGCCAAAACTGAATTGCTGAGTGTCTCTGTGGGCTTCATAAAAATTATGTTTTTCATGAATGTAGGGATTCCAGCTGTGAAGCAGAGCCCTTTCCCATTGAAATCAGCACAGCTGCTGTCATTGTGTCATAAGTGTTAGTTGATCCTTGTTCACAATCTATGGACCAGCTCCAGGATTTGTCTCAACAAGACACAATCAGTACAGTCATATACGATAAAATCATGTATTGAGGAAGGGAATCCTGTAAAACTGACCTGACTAATCCTGAAACATTGAGTGGTGTAAAATTATTCTTCTAAATGGACTGTGTCTAGCAAAATTATGCCTTAAAGCCATTACAAGTTTAAAGTTTTCTTATGACTCTGAGGAATAATATGCTAACTTGAGCCAGCAATAACTGATTTTTTGGCCTCTTGTGGGCAGCAGACTAAAAACTGGGAACATACATTCAACATTATATTATCACCTTTAAAGTTTATGCAGCAAATACACAGCAACATTAGCATTCATTGGAAGTTATTTTTCAGGCTGCCTATTGAATGCCAGTCCAATAATTACTCTCTTTTACTCTTGTTTTTAGTCTCTATATCCTGAGTCCTGGAGGAAACAGCTGCTAAATGCACAATAATGGTTATCAGCAAGTCAGTAACTGTGTGTTTGGTGCTGGGTAGGTAGTGTACAGTGGGTTCTCAGAGCTCTTTTGTGGAAAGCAGCAGCCTGCTGATAAAGCCATAAGACTGTTATTGACAGTAAAGTTATTGGCAGTAAAATCAATACACTACACTAATGCGCATTCATGTTTCAATCTGAGGGTCTAGAAGACACTCACCCTGTGGTCAATATTGACAGAGAAGAGAGGCTGGATGGCATTTACATCTTCGTTGTTTCTCTGGGCCTAGAACAAAGAAGATGTACACACATATAAATCAAATTAAACAGCATTTAAGCTTTCTTCTAAAAAGGTCGAATATTGCATCATACAGTAGAGCTCACGGGCAGTAAAGAATGAGGCTATCAAAACTATGCATCAAACACTAACCTTGCGCAGGGCACTGTAGGACTCCTCATCGAAGAATTTGACCTGATACGTTCCAGAGCTGGCCTGTTTGTGAGGAAGACTCCAGGACACCTGAGGGAAGGAATCACATGTTCACAAAAGCTTCTTTGATAAACTGTAGGTTTGAAGAGATTGTTCATCTGAAGAGGGACGCTATTCTGCGGTTGACATCAAGGTCAGGAGCAGAATCACATGTAGCACTGTATTTGTGGTTTACCTGTTAAAACAACCATGTGATTTGTTTCATGTTGGGAAAACAAAATGACAGTTAAAAACCAGGACCTGTGGACATAAAAGTCCTATTTGTGATCATGATTTTAAATCATGTGTGGCCAGGCACTTCAACAGTCAGAACCACAGTATGAGTGAACTACATTACATGGGCTTCGAGACAGTGAAGATGCCATGGAGAGGATGTAATGGTGACAGAATCCTTCTCCAAAGGTGTGTTGTTGGATACATTTCCCTTGCAATCAGGTCCGCCGACTCTTTTAGGTCTAGGCTCAAAACTTACTTTTATACTTTTATTCATTAGCATTTGAGTCCCCCTGATGTGGCGTGCCTGTGTGTGTTGTGTCTCTAAACGTGTGAGCTGTGTACCTGACAGTTATGTTGCCTCCCATGTATGTGTTTCTGGCATTTTATTCCTTTTGTACAGCACTTTGTTCAATGCGAGTTGTTTTTAGATGTGCTTTATGAAGAAATTTGAGTTGAGTTGATTACCTTTGTACCTCTTGGGATGAATGAAGATATTTTGTTTGCTTGCTTCTCATGAAGTGAATATATTTATGTTGTTTCCTTGGTATTTCTTGTTTTAGCACTCTGTACCATGACAGTCTGTCCTATGAACGGTTGTGGCTCCCCCTGTTGGGATCAACTTTGTGTACTAGTTGCAGTCACCTATAATTAATCCCACCTGTGTATATTGTTTGTGTCACTGCCAGAATACATGCTAAGGAAAAGCATCTGCCCTAAATGTCCATGTGCCAATATTAAAAAGTTAAACTGGAGTGCTGTTCTAGTCTTTACTATGATGAGATAATCATAGAGGAAATATTTTAATTGAGGACAAGCTTTTGGCATTGAGTGTTTCTGTAGTAAAGGGTGGGAGGTTCAGGGTGGTGCAGAATAAGAAAAGGAGGGCTGTGATTTGCAATTAGACAACACCCAATGCTCAAATCATAGTGGCTGTAAGATGAGCCTCCTTCAATGTCATGTGCGATCCAGTACTACCCATAAAACAGTACCAAGTCAGAGTCAGTCTTAATCAGTGCACATGAACATAAGATCACTACCATACCTGATACTTGCCAACATCCTGTCCTCTAGTCACAGGGAACTGTCTTCCATTGACATCAGCATACAGAGTCACACTCTGCAGAGGTCAGAAATGATCACCAGTGAGTCAGCTGCACAATAAAATCAATACACAATCATCCTGTGTGTCTGGAGTGTTGGGGGTGCTACCTGTGCTCCGTTGGCACAGGCCAGGCTGAGTTCAACGATGAAGACAGACTCAGAGGAGATGACGGCGTCAGAGGTGGTGTAGGCCGACGGGGTGATCGCTGGGTCTGTGCAGCTCTCTCCTGTCACCACACAATACAGAGGTTAGCTAACATCTCAGACACCAGTGAATCATGCTCACAGTATAAGCTGTTAATTAATACACATTTCTCCAGGACTTATATTCCACCTACTCTGGAGGACAGAGGGGAGTGATTTGATTGATTGAACTTGCTACTAGCTAAAGTTGTTTAGCATCACAGGCTAATTCAACCGGTAAATCTCTCCCACCGGCCCCCCGCTGACTCACCCGAGCAGGCGACCACCAGCAGAGCGAGGAAGGCGGCTATCCGGATCATTGTGGTGTCTGAGAGGTTGTCAGTGAGGTTTCTAGTTGTTCCTGAGCTCCAGCTGCTGAACTGCACTGCTTCTTTCACACTGACAGAAAGGAAGAAGTCCACCTCAGCGCACTGCTACGACTCCTCTGCGCCTGCGCAGTAATGACGTAGCTGTTGCGCCGCAGAGCACTCTGGGTATTTACTATGTCGACACGTCATCCGAGTCAAAACATATTTTATTTATCAAAAATAACTGTTATGAACGACTTTTCCTTGTTAATCATTACTCATAATAATCACATCATTTAATTATATATTTAAAACTATTAATGGTCTATCCCATCCAATGAAAATCATCTGAATTTTCAAAACGCACCCTCTTGATGATAAATGTATTGACATAATGAATACCCTGTAAGTGCCACAGTAAACATATACTTCATACATTATATGAAAGTAAAAAAATACTCCTCGAGGAAAAGCTTACTGGGAAAACAGTTTTACAGGTACTGACTGACAGAGGGTGTGGCTAATTCTGTATTAATAAAATTGAAGAAATAGTCCACACATCAAAATTTTATATAATATATCAAACAAATCAATACTTTAATTTTATATTTTCATATATGTTGAGAACATAGCCCTATGCAATTTTTGCAATGATAGTCCACAATCTCGAACACATTCATTTTACCACTGTAGCCACTGTGTTACTACTCGGACTTGAATAAAAGATTATATATTATGTAAAACTGTGTAAAACTAATCATCGTGTCAAAATTGAATGTAAAAATGTGTTAAATTATGAACATGATAAATACTTACTTATTGATTATACAGTGTATGTTAAAATTCATATACATAAATACAAAATAGCAAAAGCGACCCTCAATTTTAATGAATTGTTATGTGAATTTAAAGAATACCTATATCAAGACTCTCAAACTTATACACTCTAAAACATAATAAAATGTCAACTTTTAAAAGAATAATAGGACCTCTTTTTCATATTATAAAAGTTTATTTATCCGTATTCTATTTAGCCTATTATTATTATAATAGCAGTAGCAATCAGAAGAAGAAGAAGAAGAAGTAGTAGTAGTAATGGTGGTAATTACTATTAGGTATTATTAAGTTATTAAAGTTTATCTTGACACTATCATAGTACTAACCTAATACAGGCAAATGTATAAATGAAACAAAGCTTTTAGTCTGGTTAAAATCATACCCAGAATATATTCAAGCATTTTTTTTAGACATTTAAATGGTGCAAAAGCATCTAAATGTATTTTTTGTCTACTCTCTCTTCCACCTGGCATTTTCCATGTGTGCCACTAGTGTTTTTCTATTAAACAAATGTAGCTATCATGAAGTCAATAGACCTTTTACACAGAGGTCATTATGGCAGGTCATAGCAGCAGCAGCACAGGTGTTACTAATAACAATAATGACAAATACTGGCTGCATCCATTTTAGGTGCTCCAGTTCCAAGCAGCGCTCGGATTTGCACCTGTTTTTTTCCTATGAAAGTTAAAATGTCTTTTTTGCGAAAAGGTTCTGTTGCCAAAATATCTCAACCATAATTTTTTTTCTCTTTCAGTCCAGTCACAGTTTTCTGATGTTTTTGTGTTATGAACTGTGATTTGACTCATTTGAAATTTCTGTTACCATAATACAGCTTTATCTAAAAAAGACCTCAGCTTATTTCACAATTCATAAAAATGGAACAAGAAATATTTTGAATAATAATTATTTTATATCAGCCTCTACACCCACTTGTAATAAACAAGGCTTAATGTAAAATAAATTTACACATTTTACAGTACTCATATTTATGACAAATAAAAAGCAGTCAGAATAGACAAAATATTTATTTGGCATGTAGCCTAGATATACAGATCAATCATAAAGTGTGAAACTAGTTAGAAATAATATGTACAAATCCATAACAGCTACAGTATTCACAGTTTTCTTATCAATGTGACTCTGACTAAGTGCATGTGCTGACTGGAACTCAGAGAAAGTTTGGCTTAAACTGGAAGTAATGTAATATCAACACCTACACAGAGATGCAGATACAAAGTCCTAAGTTGCATAAAAACATTCAGCTGAACACAAACACATCAGTGCATTTCAAGTAATCTGCAGCTTCCACATTGTTCTGCAGGTTTGCAGTCAGAGCAGTGTTCTGCTGTATGAAATATAAATGACAGGGCTTCTGAATGAGTGGGGAGCAACCCTGTGGAAATGACCTCAGAGAAATGACCAAGGGTCAGTGATCTCAGCTTTCTAGAAATAGATATGCTGAAAGCTACTGTCAGAGAACATCACCCCACAACTCTGTTTTCATTTGTATCATCTCTCTCTTTTTTCATGTCATCAGCTCTCAGTCCAGTGGATCTCCTGCTCTGAAGAGCCCTGATCCTCTCCCCCTGCGTCCATCCCGCTTCCCTTTCCTTTGGGGACCCTGGGCAGAGGGAGAGGAGGAGGTGGTGGAGGAGGGATCCTGCAGTGCTTGCCGTGAGAGAAGCTCCATGAAGACTGAGTCCATCTGGCGACAGACCTCCTGTGAGATGAAATAAACAATAGTGATGAGAGGAGAGACAAAAGTCTCTTTGTTCTCTGCGTTCCCTTCTGCTCGAGAGCTTCTTATCATGTTTGTTTGAAAAGACATAATGTAGTTTTGTAATTAGATCATTAATAATTTGGTGCCGCTTTCTACCAAGGCACTTTATAAAAGGGGTTTGTAAGTTATTAACTGATCAAATGATAAATACAATAAAATAATGCACCAGTGCTTTATAGATCAGTCAATAGCTGTTAATAAACTACTTCTGCCAGGTTGTATAAAACTTTAGTCCTGTTGTCCATCAGGAAATCTCTCCAAAGGATGGTTCAACCTCTTACCCTCTCAAAAAGTGGTACAAATCCATGTTTTGGCAACTTGTTAAATTACAACATTTACAACTGCAGATCTGACTGATAAAAACCCTTCAGTGACTTATTAAAACTTATAGTTGCAGATGACTCACTAAAACATGATAAATCTGTGACTTTTTATCAAAGCAGAGGTAAATTATTTATGAACTCTTGTTAAAGGGACAGTTCACCCTCAAATCAAAAATACATGTGCTTTTTCTTGTACCTGTAGAGCTATTATCAATCCAGATTGTTTCGGTGCGAGTTGCAGAGTGTTGGAGTTATTATCTGTGGAGTTGTCTGCCTTCTCTCAATTATAATGGAACTAGGTGGCACTCGGCTTGTTGTGTTCAAATAACTAGAAAAATACATTTGAAAAATTCAACAGCAATGTCTCTTTCCAGAAATCATGACCTGGTTACTCAAGATAGTCCACAGACCTTGTTGTGAGCAGTTTCATGTAGGCACTATTTCCTTTCTACCAAACTACACCTATCTTGAGTAACCAGGTCATGATTTCTTCAAAGACACATTAGTGTGGAAATTTTCAAATGTATTTTTTGTCTCTTTGAGCACCACAAGCTGAGTGCCATCTAGTTCCATAATACTGGAGAGAAGGCAGACATCTCTATAGCCGATATTTCCAACACTCAGCAACTCACACCAAAATAATCTGGACTGATACATAGCACTACAGGTACAAGGTATGTGTTTTTAATTTATGTGTGAACTGTCCCTTTAGAGCCATTATTACAGCTTACAAACCCCTCAGTAAAGGCAGCCTCATTACAGAGTGGAACTATATAATTTAAAATGAGAAACAACACAGACCTTGTCTACTTTAACTGGAATATCTTCAGAAGATGAGTTTTCCTGCAATCTGTATGCAGAAAAAAAAAGACCAGAAAACAGTGAATATTCATTTCTCACACAAACATAAGTCAGTTGTAACACTGCAACATTCAGTGGTACTCACTCTCTGCGCAAATAGGCAGGAGAGAGGCCTCGCCGTGGCTTGCACTGTGGTCCAACGGGTATCTGGAGCATTAACTTTCCACTTGAAGCGATGCCGCCCCCAACTGGTCCAGCTGTCTGCCTACTGTAGTCAATTGCTCCGCTGCTGTTGGCTCTCGGACGCTCTGCTTTTCTTTGTGTTGGTGCTGCCGATGAGCTGGTGTTGCTATCAGCTGAGGATCCTGTCTCAAACTCTGCAGCACATCACATCGACACATTCTTTAATTCCATTCAGAGATACCATAAACAATGATAAACTAAGATAGGCACCTAAAACTTACCATCTTTGCTATACTCTGCTTCCACATCTCCCTCTTCAATGATAGGCTCACTGTGAAGAAAAAACAGCTTCAGATAATTGTTCCAGCGCACACTGTATCCATGCTATGTGTATGAACATTTTCTCAGTTACCAGTCATCTTGTTCCAGTGTCATGCATTTCTCGTAAACTGGTCCCTGTACTTCGCTCTTGCTAGGGAAGATGCTTTCATGCTGGAGGATGATGTCCTTCACCAGGGCGTTGATCTGAGGCTGCAGGGTGACGACATCATCATCATTAGCCCCTCTTACCAGGCTGGGACCGAAACACACAGCCAGGTTGTAAGGCTGCATCATGTTCTCGTCACTGTACTGAGACACGCTGGAGGCGGAGGACAGAGAGAGAGGGTGGAAAGTTAAAGTTAGACGCACATAGTGACAGGTAGACTAAAATATCCTGATGCATTTTTTGTGCCTTCTTCTTACAATGTGTTTACAAAAATTTTAGTTAATTTAAAAAAAAAAAAAAGAAAAAGAAAACTAGCTGAAAAGACATTGTGTACTTAAAATCCAACTGAAATAAAAAATATACAGGAAAATATTGTCTACACAGGAAGCATGAGGAGGCACTGATGCAAATGTTTGAGACTGAGATGTCCACATAATAATCAACGTAGATTTTTAATTCAATAAAAACATTAAAGTAGTAGAGGACTTTTGGGATATTTGGGATATTTACACCATAAATTGAAGTAGAAAAGGCACATTTTGGTGCATAAAACTTCACCAACTTCACATGACCTTGGGTCAACTGCTTTCCCAAAGTGTCGTGTTTATATTGTAGTACCTATTACAAACGTCTTAAATTTTGCCCCTGATGACTAATTAAAAAAAAGTAAATTAATTAAAATAAAAACATTGCTACAACTAATCAAAACTAAACTAAAACTAAACATCTTGAAACAATAAAAACTAACTGGAATGAGCTAAGTGAACCTAAAACTGTACTGAAAACAAAGAATAAATATGAAATAAATAATAATAATGAAAAACACAAATCTATAATAACTCTGATCAGAACTTTACCTCAATCCATCTTCTACATAAACCTGGTGCTGCTACATTGATTAAAACTATATTAAAATGGTTTTAATTTAATTTGGTTTGCTTTCATTTTGTTGCAGCGTACACCCAAAACTTGTGGACTGACCTGTTGTCTATTTTTATGTGCTGTCTCCATCTCTCATCATTTTGCACCAATAAAATTAGATCTAGTGGAGAATTCTGTTATACGCTGCTGTATCCATTTTGTGGAAAAAGTTTTAATTTATTCTAAATTAAAACTAACCAATCCAATCTTGTGTAAAAAAAAAAATGTGCTGCTCTAATAAATAAAATGTGAAAATAAACTCTGATCCATCACACTTCTGTCAGATCTAATCAGCTAACAGGTAAAAATAGTTGCTCCTTCCTCTTCCTATAAATGAAGCTCTTTGGTTTCCTGTGACTGATTATATGACTTTTGTAGAAACATGTCCAGGGCGGTGATGACTGCGATGAGTTGCAACACTCACTGATGAAGGAATGCAAAGAGGTATCTCATGACGATGATGATGGGCTCAGGGTAGGAGGAGATGACCGTTTTGAGCTGAGCCGCTCTCTCTGCCTCGTTCTTTATTTCTGAGAAAAGGCGATGACAGAAAGATAAGCTCCTGCTGTACACCCTCAGCCACACTCATTTGACATTTCAGCACCCACACACTCACGTGCATACTCCAGGAGTTGGCTGGTGCTGTCGATGGGGAAGAGGGGATTCTCCAAACCTCTGAAGTAGAGCTTCAGCACTCCGGCAACAGAGTCCATGTCATATCTGCGCTCAGCCAGGGGGTCCTCTCCTGCAGGAGAAGCCCACAGAACACTGCCCCACATTATTAATGCTCTTAAGTGAGAGGGCTACTCTGTGAAAGGAGATCTACAGGTCATGCCAGTACATTCACAAAAACACACAGGCCTACCTCGCTCAAATGCATCCCTCAGATTGTTGACCTCCACCTGAGACCCCGGCACTCTGAATATGCCCTCATGGTGGAGACCTGATGGATAGACACATTGTTAGAGTTGAGAACCTGTAGATCCAATACAACAATATAATTGAAGCCACTATTTTATGCCAATAACATTCTTAAAATGAAGTTTGTTTGTAGAAAAAAGGAACAGTCATGGTTAATACTGGTTCACCTATGGTGCTGTTTTAAGCTCATTCATGTCAGCGTTGTAAAGCCAGATCTGTGGCAGAAGGGGATTGTGATGTCAGCCACAGTGGCATTTTAATACGAACACTGGGGACACTAGAGCTGGGGATCTACGCCATAGATTATATGACTAATACTGGACATAGCCACTCTAACATCATCCATTGGTTTGTGGTTTTAAAGTTTCAAATTTGGCATTTCGGCTGTTGCCATTTTGGATTTTTGGAGGCAGAAGTAATCGTGGGTGCAAATCGCATACTTTTTCTTTTTACTTTTAGAAGGTACTGCAGCTGCCCTTAAAAAGTACGTACTGTTGCACGCCATATGCACATAATTGGGACATACTACTGTCTCATAACATTACGCCCTGAACTTTGACCCTCTTGTTTTTATATCTGTTACCATGGAGATGAAAACAAATGCCACTCACTGAGTTCTCCACAGACAGATCAACCCGAGAGCTCTGTCGTTGTTACTTTGCAATGTATGTAGTATAGCTATAAAGTTATAACTGCACAGATTGCAGATTGTAACATATTATATATATGACAGTGAAGTTACATCTGCAGTTCTGTCATTGTTATTTTTATTGTTATGTCCTTTTGTTGTGAGTTATATTTATGATTACTGAAACAATCAGTACTCCTATAATTACTATTCTGCTGGTTATCAGTTAGTTGAATGCGCTGTGAGCCGTCATTACTTAACTTCTGGCAGCTGTTTATTAGATATCATCAGCTGTCAATGAGCTGTCAAGCTGTCATCTGTTTGTGGCTCAGTGGGTGTGACATATCACCCGCTACGTGGGTCAGAATAGCCAGAAAAGCATGCTGACTTGCATACAAAAAAAATCAGCAAAATCAGACCGGATGTAGTAGAACATCCTGGTATTTTTGGCATACTGTATTTGACATACTATTTATTGGGACATACTGAATATTTGGAAGAGAGGGTGGAGATGCAGAGGAGCGAGGGGTGGCTCTGACTCAGACTGTCATCACAGACAGCCTGTCAGTCAGACAGCCACGCCCTTAATTATGGGTGACTTTAAGCCTTAATAAAAAAGTTAAATAAAAATTTACCACCCGTACAGTTGTCATGAAGGAGGAAGTTAGCAATAGAGACCAGAACTGTTTTTTGTACCAGGCTGTAAACACGTTTATTTCTGCTGTAAAGTTTGGCATTTTAACATGGGGGACTTTTGGGATTGACTCACTTTTGAAGCCTCCAGTGGCCATTAAAGGAACTGCAGTTTTTGGCACTTCACATTCATGCTTCATTTTTCAGCCCTGGAGGTTGTAGTTTGGTTCTATGCAAGTCTTATTATAATTTTTTTGTCTTAAATATGTTTTTCAGTAGATTAGCACAAGTGTAGCTGCTTTTTTGGGACTGAATACTCACCATTGAGGTTGATAAAGCAAATGCAACTTTCCACAACAATTGGAATCTGTTGTCCCGATGCCTGGATGGAACAAATTTAGTGATTAATTAAAAAAAATTAAAGGCTAAAACAACATTGATAACTGCTGTGCTGTAAAAGGAGAAACAGACTGAATATATCTAGAGAGAAATGCTGAAAGAGGAAACAGTGAGATAGCGTAATCATGATGTAGCTACCTGTATGAAGGACAGCATGTCTCCTTTGAAAAGTTTGTGGTTGTGAAACAAATTGGCACTTGAGTGATTCTTCCTGATACGCATCGACTTTCCATTGTGTCTGGGGATCCAGATACCAAAATGTGAAGACATGGTAAACTCCATTTTGTTGCAGTTGTAATATAATCACATATCATATTGTTCACAGTTTAAACCAGGAACACAAATATGTCTGTACCTGGGGTGATGTCCATTTGATGCTTCTGCTAAGAGAGAAAAATGCACACAAAGAAAAAGAGAAACAACCAGTAAGAGGAAATAGGGAATATTTCAGAATAAAATAAATATATATACTTTCATTGCAGGTGAAAAAGGGAACAACATTATCTTGGAAAACAATACCCTACAATGCAACAGCTGTAATGAGCTGACAATGTGGGTCAGCAGTTTTTTTTACATTGTTCAGTGTGAAATGCAGAAGTGATACCTTTTTCCACAGCCACCTTCAGCTGGTCATGTTTGGCTTGCAGTTTAGATACCAGAGAGCTGCCAACAAGGTGTTCTTTTACTCTCTGTTAAACAAATCAGACGTGATGTAATGTCGGTGTCATGTTGTCACCAACAGTCAAACAAACAAAAAGCATGTCTGCATATCCACCAGCTGCATATCATTAAAACCTCCATAAACCGTGTGCTATTCTGGTTTATTACTTTAAAAAATGACTCACAGTGAAGTAGAGGTTTTCCATTTCCTGCATGCTGGCCCTGCGCCGGGCCACACTGGGCTTGACTGTCAGGTTCTCAGTGCTGCCGTCCTGAGAGCCACTGCCGGGATCCAGATCATCATCGCCAATAGTCTCCAGCAGGGAAGACTGAGTTGCCAACATGCTCTTACCAGCCTGTATGACAGTGGCAGAGATAACAACTGAATATTATGCATTTGCAAAACTGCACTTGAAAATGGACATTTCAATGCACTTATTCTTAAATTTGAATTTTGCCAGTGCCTCCAAGTTAACATTGTGTTGATGGAGTGCAAAATATGAGGTAAACTGACAATGTGATTGCATTTATGTTGCATTCAAGCACCTGTTGGAAGTGCCAGAATTACAATATAAGCATGTGAATAGACTCCTGCGGGGAAAACCCAGAAATGAGTTAGCATTTTTGCATTTCTGCTTCCCTCATTTCAAAGTCAACATTACATTACATTACATTACATTTTGTTCCATGATATAAATGTCATTATTTGTTTTATGTTTAATACATGTTTAATAATAGTAATGTGTTTTATTTGAGGTCCCTTTCAAAGCACTAAAGGACACCTTACAAGCAGCAATGTATCCATAGATAGTAAAGTCAAAAAAATCGGTAATACACAGTCATAAGTTAATAAAATAACTGCACAAAAAACAAACTAGGTATAAAATTATCATTATAAATTCAACATTAGTGCAAATCTCAATGTGTGTGTTAACATTAAATCAACCAAATATGCCAGCTTGACAACGTGCATTTTCAGACAGGATTTCGAAGGTGGAAAGGAGGTCAATATTGTGAATGTCATGTGGGAGAGAGTTCCAAAGGCAGAGGGTAGAACGGCTGAGGACTCTAGAACCCATAGTCGTCAAGCGGGCTGATGGTGATGTGAGTTAGATTGCAGAAGAGGATTTGAGACTACAGGAGTGTGTGTAGATGTAAAAGGAGTTCAGAAAGATACAAAGGACCTTGCTTATGAGTGGCCTTGAAAGTGAGAGGCAGAATCTTGAAATCGACAGAACATTCAACATAAAGCCAGTGAAGCTTGCTTACAAGTTTACAAGCTTGACCTCACACCGTTTCTTGAACTCAGTACACTTTCCATTTACTTTAAAAAAAAAAAAAAGGTTTAGAAAGCAAGAAAAAAAAAAATCCATTTACAGCTATGTATGAACTCTGCCTGGACTCAGGCGCATTCAGTCAAATAACACTGGCACTTACAATAGACCGTGACTGTGACAGACAGTGAGGTGCTGAGGGTGGTGAGATGTACTCTACCTCCTCTGTTTCCTGAGTGACTGCTTTCAGTCTGGTTTGTATCTGCTTGAATCTGGTCTCCAGCTCGCATCTCATCTCACCCTCTGCACTCACCTCGGAGACCTGAGAGACACATAAGAGGTTTAGTGCTGATGCAGAACGGCTGAATAATCACACACACATACACACACACACACACACACACACACACAATACAGACCTGGTCTCCATCATGGGGCTGGTAGGGGAAGCGTAAGGGCATACAGAAGGTGTTATAGTGGTCCTGCAGGAGCGTGTCTCTGTCACGGCTCTGGTCCAGTCCGGACACGGTGGTTTGGAGCTGCTGCAGCCCCGTGCTCAGGTTCTCCTGGGTCCGCCACCGACTGGACAGGTAAGCCTGCATCACCCGGCTTAAAGAGAGATGGTACCCTATATCTGCACACTGAGGGAGACGACTACATTTCAGCCAGTATCACCTATGTAATTTGGGTGCTTATGTGCTTTAATACAATATTTTAAAATACAAAAAGACAAAACTGATGATTCACTCACATCTATGAGAGTAGAGATGTCTTGGAGGTAGTACTTATTCATGGATGAATTAGCTGCAGCCAAGTTTAGGAGGTAATCGTTTCGGGCCTTGCTGCACTTCAGGTAGATGTCTTGGACCTTACCCTGTCTCTATGGTACACAAACACTTACCAGTAAGAGGTGAAATAGACACATATAGACATGTATCAGGGTTCCCACACATTTTTACTATTGAATTTAGTAAAAATTAACATTGGTATTTACATGACTTTATTCAATAATATGCAGAAATCTATAGCGATCGTCAGGCGCAGTATGCTATACTCTAAGTGGCAAAAATGTTGCATGGAATATGGCATGAAGTGTCTTTGTGTCTACACATACAGTAGACGCAAAGTGGTAACATTATCCGGCTACAGCAAGCGTGAAAAATGTGCTGATGCTGTTGCTCTGCTCAGTCACCTTTTGGTTGTATTGATGCTTTTTTCCCCTAGCATGGCTGACCAGAGCCACTTCCTCAGTGCTGCTAATGTCAAACATTTTGCTGTAGAGCGCCTATATGCAGTGCAGCTACAGTCTGCCTCTTTCTTGAGCAATGTACTGTTTTTGTCATTCAAAAGTCATACGTAACAGAGTGCTCCAGGAAGGAGTCCTGAAACCCAGAAATGAGTTAGCATTTTAGCACTCCAGGTTCCCTCGTCTCAAAGTCAGTGAGTGTTTTTTTAATGGGTTTTTGGTTGCCTGAAATAAGGTCTGTACCTAACGCAACCTTAGTATGTTCTACAACATAAAATATGTCGGCAAATACCCCACTCTGGAATTTTGAAGCTTTTATGCATCTTAAAAAAAGCGGTTGCTAACAAGTGGCTAACTGAGACTACAGAACATCAGCTCTTTACTTCTGGCGATTGGATTTGGGCTTCAAAAATCATATCATATTGTTCATTTGTGAGGATTATCTTGCTGAACAAAACATGTAAGTATCATAAATGTTAGTTTTCCACAGACCTTATTTTCTGCAATAATTCAAAATCTGGTGGAAAAATCCCACAGGCTTTTGATGAAGGAACCAGGGCGACACTAACTTGCAGGCTGGCCTGCAGAACATCATCCCTGGAGCACTCTGTTAGCACTTCCCAGGCATTTTCGGATAAGTAAACTGCTAGCGTTTGCTAACTTTACTCGCTAGTTAGACATTCCTGCCACCAGCTACCTGCATATGCCAATCATTTGATGCTAGTGACGTTTCACCGGTCACACACCACAGAAGTATATTTAAAAGTAGTAATAAAAGAATGCATTTTGTGTAAGGTTAAACATGTTTTGGGAATTTTATGAATGTATTTTAAACAATCCAGAAATTTCAAGACTGTGGGAACCCTGTCACATGCACATGATACTACATAGAGGGTATTTACTTTTTCTATCAACCGCTCCAGCTTCTTGGAGCTTTGCTTTTCCTCCTGTTTCTCTGCCTCCTTCAGCTTCCCCTCTGCACACACATAGTCTGAGTGGTACTGGTAGTATGTTCGCCATGCCTGCACACAGACACATACAGCCATGCTTTACTTTGTTTGATAGGGGAAACGGAAAATGTTTTGGGTGGTTGGTTTCTCACTTACAGTCTGTAGCTCTGTGGTAACCTTGAGTAGTCCATCTTGCAGCTGTGTGCAGATGTCTTTACTCTGGAAACGGGGCACAGAGACAAAATACCACAAAGTGAGTTGGTACAACACGGAAGGAACACGGTGAACCACAGAATACTAAATGTCAAGGGTTCATGAGAGATACAGGGGTGAGAGTTAGAAAATAAAAGTGGTAGCAAAGCAGTCAGGTAAAATGTGCTGTGCATGCACAGACCTGTGTCAGATGCCTAATGAAAGACTGAGTTTGTGCTTGAGGGGTGCCAATGCCAATGTTCTTACCTTCTTGGCAAGGCGCTGTGTGTACTCCAGACAGTGTGTGAGGGGCTGGATGAGGAAGTTGCTGCAGCGCTCACTCAGTCCATTGTGGTCCTTACTTTCCTGGCGGGTCTGGGACAGCAGAGCCAGCCAGACCTGGGCCACCGTGTTACTACTGGGCTCCTTCCTGAGCATATATTGAGAGGGAAAGGAAAACACAAGCACAGTTTTTAAGATACAACCAGGAATGCTTTCACAGAAGCGTCCTCACATGAACTGCTGGTTGAAATAGTACATTATGTGCTGAGGATTGCCTTCACCTCTTGATCCTAGAAGTGAACCTTTCAGCAAGTTTTTCAAGGGAGCGGGCATACTCGCTTTCTATCTCACCCCGCCGCCGCAAGTAGTCTGTCAGGTCCTGCAGCTGCTGGCTCTTCTGCTCAAGTTGCACGTCTAACACCTTCAGCTGGTCTACAAGCTGGCAACGCACCTCTGAAAGGGAAAGAAAGAAAGAGGCGAAAGAATAACAGACGTGGCGAGGAGGGACAAACACATACGAGAGAATGAGACTCATTGTGAAACTCTTGCTGTGGGTGAAAAACGGATTTTACATATTTCCCCCCCCCATAAATGCACACGTTGATCGTAGTGAAGATGTGGTGTGATAAGGAGGGAGGAGTTGTTAAAAGGGTGCAGTTAAATGTAATAACCTTTGATTTGTGTGTCATAGTCCACCAAGCCGACCCTCTCCTTCCGCAGTTTCACGTGGGAAGTCATTGTTGCTCCAACTGGGTGGAATTCTGGATAAAGGACGTGAATATTTTATTATTTCACCACGTAGCATGAAATATCACTTGCTCTGGTTCTTCTTACCTCGTTTGCCAATTCAAAGTATGCTTAATATGCATGCAAGCTACTCTGATCTTCTTGGATCTTGCTGGAAAAAGCTGGGTTAAAAAATATTTATGTGTCAAGGCCTGCTGCACCCAAGCAAACTTTCACACTCTGAGTGCTGAACCCCCCCCCCCCCCCCCCCCCCCCCCCCCCCCCCCCCCCCCGACCATGCTAACTTCCTCCTGCCACAGAAAGCGTGAAAAGAGCATGTTCAGCTTACTGTAACACATCTCCTCAAACTGGTCACCCGTTGCAATCCTCTGCTGGACGGCAGGCAGCTAGAAAACCAGTTGGCATGTGCTGCCTGCTGCACTGGTCACGCTGCAGAATTGCATTGGGTGCAAAAATAGCTCTAGCAACATCTCAGCTGCCCTAAAAATAGGGTGAACCACACGCCGTACAACTCTGTGGGGATGTTTGTTCTCAAGACTACAGGTGGTTTTACCAATGTTACTCGAGTCAAGTCAAATCCAGCTGCTTGTCGCCAACTATTTCTATATACCCTACTAACTGAGCGGCTTAGAAGCTTCACAGAAAGTATACTTCAGTTCAGGATAACAAATTGGGCTGGTTTATCTGACTGAGACTAGGCCTTTCATAAAATAAACATCACAATGAGCAGTCAATGAAAAACTTTGTGTTTTTTGCCATTTTCATCATGTTATGTGACAGAAAGTTACTGTACAAAGCAAGGCAGTCATTTAAACACATGATCATCTCACAGGCCTTTGACGTATTGACAACTTATTTGTTGATATGTCTGCAAGATATCATTTATTAGATGACATTTAGTACATTTTAAAAAGGGGAAGAGCAGAGTGTTTTTTTTGCTGGATCATAACCCTTTGTACACAACCACCACACATTCTCTCTTTTTACCCTTCGACTTCCCCTTTTTTCAAAAGCCAAACATCACTCATCAGCATTCTCTTCAGCTGAACTGTGCGCTCTCTACTTCTTTCCCACTGAGACGTTTACGGACTGACTTGCTAAAATGAGTCTGCTGTGTTACAGCAAACCCCAAACTCCTTGTAGAAAAGGAGAGTGTCTCATTTTTCCAGCCTATGTCACCCTTTTCCATTAGCCCTTTTCATTCTTTCTCTATGTGATCAGCAATGAATCACCACCTCCTGTCGTCACAATCTGCTTCAATACTTTATTATAGAAAAGGTGTAGTCTCTACCTATAATACAGCAACTGCTTCTTCATCTGCTATTCTGGTAATTCAGGGTGTTTCACTTTGGGTTTTCACAAGTACCAACACATTTAGATGCTGCCTCAGCCACGAGACGTTAATGGCCTGAGGGCTATTTCTGAAGCCAATAATAACGATCCTTCATAAGAGCACTTACTTCGCAGCACAAACATGTTTATTAGAGCTAAACTGGCAACCTGTCTTGTTTTGGCGAGACAGGTCAGTAAATGGAAATCAATAAAAGTTGAATGCTTCCAAAGAAAGAGTCCTACCTGATGGGGAGCAGTCCTGACTAGTCTCCTCTCCAGACTGAGGCAACTAAATAATGCCAGTTAATAGCACAGTAAGCTCTCAACTGTTTCACCTCCCCCTCACATTGGACACGGATGGATGTGGGTGGAGTGGAACTCATCTCTCTGACTCTCTCACTCTCTCTCACACACACACACACACTCACTGCTCTACCGCTCTCTCTTTCTCAACACTCATCGCACTCACACATTCAGTTTGAGGCATCAGTGTGTGATTGTGCAAGTGTGGCGAGGAGTGAAAAACCTTTCTGAGTTTCTCTTTCATGCTGCCTCTTGAACTCCACAGCAGGTTTTCAGTCCAATCAAACACCAGCTGTTTTCACTGATTAGTCCCTCTGCACTAGTATTCACAGGCTACTGAGTGAAATCAGCTGCTATAGTGTTCAGTTGAAGAAAAAGAAAGAAAGCTCCTGAATACTCTGGGATATTCTTAGCACAAAACTGGCGGCCTCTACAATTGCTCCACAATTTGCTTACATACTGTATGACCACAGTTTATGATGACTAATGCATGGCTTGTAACCCTGGAAACACCTTGTGTCAAACAGTTACACAAAGGCTAAAAAAAGTTTCTGACTTAACGAGAAAATCCAAAATTCCTTTCATCACATGTGCACTGGTGGTAAAAAAGTGAAGCCATTGCTACTATTAAATCTTTGCTCAATTATCTGTCCACTGTGGAAGACTTGTTTTGAACAGCAGCAGCATCTGTTGGTGTCTTCTCTCACCTCTTGCTAAAAGTGTTACATGGCACAAAGGTGTGAATGTGCACTATTGCCAATTTGTGACGAACAGCCAAACTTGAATGTCTTTGTGCATTATTTGCCGTTATCTGCGGCGTACTTCTCTCCCTCCTGTTTCCTTCCTCTAACAGGCAGTGTGATGGTGATGTGCAATCAGCATAAAGAACTACTAAAACTGACATAGGCTGGCCAACATGACACTGCTCGATAGAAGGAATTTTCTAGAGTCCTGATGTTTTATCTATTGTTTGATTATGTTTGACTTTTCAGTTTGGTTTCTTACCAAATTTAGGACCTTGACACACCAGTTTACATTAAAGGATTTCCACACAGCGTTGATTAGTTGAGGTTTAAACAAGGAGGGTTTAAGTTTACAGATCAGACATTCATTGTAGGAAGTCTTTCATCTTTATGCTGATTAGTATGCTTTGACTTCTCTTTAATCCCCTGTACATACAGTAGCATTATTGTCATCACGATAGTATACATTTTTATTTGTAAAAATGCAACAAACCTGATTAAAACTGGTGCAGTCTGATGTGTTCAGCCCATCATTAGTGCCTAAAGTGCCTAAAGGTCAGACACATTGTGGGTCGACAGTGAGCAGTGCTACCTGCCAGTGTGTTTTCTGATGCTGCCACCAGGAGTCACCAAAGTTGGATATGGTCAAATCCTACACACACTGACTTGGCTTTTTCACTATCAATGGAAAGCTTTACTATGGATCTTGTGTGCCTTATATAAAAACAGAGCACAAATAATATCTGTGACAGCTCAAATTCAACAGTAACCTCTTCACTGGCTATACAACTCGAAGAGTATACGATTAAGTCGCTAAATTAAATATATTTTGACATGTCATTGACCTCATACTAAATAGAGGCCATGGACAAGTCAAATATTTTCCCACAATTATTGACTGTTATCAGAAAGTAATGATCTATGCTTAGTAGTAGCATTTCCATCAAACACTTTTGATATAGTACCCTTGGAACTATACCTACATGGACATGTACCTAAACCCTAGATCTGTCTTCGCATTTCCACTGCAGACAGTGTTCTTAACGTGTAAACAGGGTTGTTACTAGATGGTAATAGCTTCATCATCGCTCCATCCAGCTCTCACTGTATTTCGTCTACACCAATGATGCAGAGGAACATCCTTGCTGATCGGCGATTTTCAGAACAAAAAGGAGGCAGCTGGTGTGTTAGAGCAAGGGTGTAACACTGCTGGAGTGCACAGGAAAGACGCTCTGCCATTTTTTTTTCTCCCAGTGAGGAAACAGAATATTTACAGTTTGCAAAAACTGACTGACATTCATAATTTTTTTAAGCGCTTAAGGATTCAATCATTACTAAAGCATGTCATGCAAGAGAGTCTATGAAATCAAATGGACTGGTCAGCGTTTTTACTGACATTAAAGGTGTGTTGATTGATTCAAAATGTCAGCTCACACATTGAGTAACAGGCAACAAAACATTTCACCTTAAAAGTTGCCAGTAGCTGCCAGCAGTAGCCTTTGAATGGCACAGTGATTTTTTGAATTAAAGTTACTTTGTCTATTGCTAACTATGAACTGGCAAAGATGGTTCCTTGCCATCATAGGAACAGTGGTTACAGTCCACTGTAGTCCGAGTGTTGATTCTTCATTTACCAATCTGTCTAGGTCTATCTTTGAGTATTGGATCAGCATGATTGGTGCCTCAACAGAGAGGTGATGAAAAACGGTAACAAAAATGGAGTTCTATTTGTACCATCCACAACTTTTGACCAAGGAAACAAAACAGATAACTGTTCTAAAGTGTAATTAACTGAACTGAACCAGACTGATTGGTGGAAACGAGTCTGACGCTGCTTTTATGATCACTTACTGAAAAAATTAAGTGTGATGCAAAAAGGATTATTTGAAAGATTTATTTGCAGTAATTCTGTTAAATAATTAAGAGACCAGATTGAGACAACTTGAAAAGCAGAAGTTGTTTTCAACTCTCTAAATCTAACAGAGCTTTGGGACACTTTTGGTAATAACAACAGCAATCCAATAAAAACATTGAGAGACCTATGATTCATTTTAGTTTCATTTAGATTACACCCCAATTTATGTCATTACCGAAACTCTTTGTTCATCGCTACACTGGAAAGCAAGATTTAAGAAAAACCAGTGATGGAAATGTTGTAACAGCTTTGATGCAAAGATGGTCAGTTTGTAAAGCCAGACATATTGTCAAATAGACATAAAAAGAGGAAGTGAGGGATGAATTTAAAAATGTCTAGGACTGCAGCGTCATTGTGAATCAGAAGAAGAATCTTTAACGTCTGTGCTTTCCGTTGCCTCGCTGACTTCGCTTAGCTCTTTGCTCTCTCCCCCGCTGTCTCTCTCGTTCTCTCTCTCCTGGTCACCAGACCCTGACGGGCTCTGGCCAGACGGAGCCTCCTGGCCCGATACACGCACTCCAGGCTTTCTCAGCTTCGGGGCATATAGACAGAAACACAACACATTCATAGTCAGTATCTGCTCATCTGAGGTCAGTGGTGTAGCACGTCCCCTGAGGACACATAAACTCTTGAAAATGATGTCAGTATAGCGTCAATATGTGTTGTCATACTGGATAAACATAGAGAATTTAGTCACCTCATCGGCCATGTGGGCCAGGTCTCGCTTCATGGCGTAGGCATCCTCCCCATCTGCATAGTATTTAGGCTCTACCTCACTAATCCTGTGAAGGAAAGACAACAAATCACATCACTTAAAGTCAGAATAAATATGTCAAATCAGGGCTGTAGCTGTCATTGAGGACACTGAGATCATATCCTTAGTTTTTGGGAGGTTAAGCAACATGGGAGGATTTTACAGTTACTGGTTGAGAATTTCATACTGCAGTTTCAGAAATTAGCAGTTAAAGTGTCAAGTGGGAGTAAATGAATAGTGTAGGTCGCAGTTTGTCCATAAACAATGCAACATAACAATATGTGCCGCAGTAGTGTGTAACAGGACTTAGGTATGTTATATATAGTTTTGTAGTGTCCTTACATAATTGTAATGTGAAACCACAACCCACCAGATTACATGTGCACAGTGTAACAAAAGTGCGTACCTTGGTTTCCTGTATGAAAAGGCCGTCAGTGTTTTTAAGACATAATATATTCAAATAAGATCACAGTCAACAAGTTAAAGAGGCGGAGGCTTGAATGTGTCAACCTTTCCTAACTGTACTGTTTTAAAGTGATGGCAAACATATTAAAATAACTTCTATTTCTATTCTTGTATAAAATATAGAAATGCAAGCACTTTCAATGACCCAGGCCTATTTATGTCTATTTTCAAAAACTGTCAAAGCCGTTATTCTTTCCCTCAAATTCACAAACTTTTAACTATTTCAAGGACCTGTGGGAACCCTGCCAAACGGTACTGGATTTTTGAGGCCAATACAACATCAAATATTGGCCATGAATGAACACTGTTTCTTAATGGCCTTGATGATATGAATGGGGGGGTGGGTGTGTGTGTGTGTGTGTGTGTGTGTGTGTGTGTGTGTCTTTGCACAGTGTGTACTGCAGAGTTGCAAAATGAACATGCAGTCAGAAAAAAATAATTATGCAACACTTCGCAAAACACCATGCTTTTGTAAGTGTGATTAAATTATAACTGATAACATATTCTAATGTATTTGCAATAAGCCACTATTGACCTGAACTGCACTGCACTGTAATAATACCACAGAAGTACGTGTATAACAATTAAAACACCAAATAATGTTGGCAAAGAACAGACTTACTGGAATTTGAGTGTGTTTGAGTACAGGTGCAGAGCTGCTCGGTTGCTGCAGGGCGGAGAAAAGATTGGTAAGTCCCTGAGAACAGAAGCACTGACACACAGAGTCTGAGCACATTTAGAAAAGGGGTACCATACAATAACTTAAAAGAGACACCAAGTCCACAGCAAGCCAACAGTGCAAAGTACCTTTTACGAACATGAAGCGAGACATATTTAGCATTGAAGTTTTCTATCATGGCCCGGCTGGCCTGGTCCATCAGCTTCTGTGCCAGGCCAAGGCGTCTGTGGGAGCGCTTCACAGCCTGCAAGACACAGATGAGTGTTTTTATTATGCCTCAGAGAAGCCAGCATATCTTAGTACAATAAAACATGTAACATGCTGAATATATAATTGACGAGGGTGTGTCTCGGTCTGACTCACCAGAGATGTGATGTGTCCATGAGGTACATCATCAGGGTCCTCCTCCCTATTTAAAGTTAACAGAAGTGTTTTGAAAAACTTTATACACCTTCTTTGTGCAAATGATGTCGGATAAAAAATAACAGTCACATATACTCACATCTTTGCCAACACATATCCCACAATTTTGCCATTTTCGTCCTCTGCAATGTATGACAGCTGAAACGATTCAAACAGACAATTAGTGTCAAACACACAAATGTGCAACACTGTAAGGATTTAAATGACAGGAGCAGTATTGTTAGCAGAGATAAGGGTCCACTGCACAGTGAATGAATCACCTGAGGCCAGGACAATCCGTGATAGAAATAGTATTTCATCTGGTAGTTTTCTGGAAGACACAGCAGGTTACAGTGCTGCATATTCATAAGATCCTCCGGCTGAAGGACAGAAAGAAACTGGTTAGTAAATATCATGTGCATGACACAACTCAAACCCTTTAATCGGCAAAATCTGGACGGCTAACTAGCAGGCTGTGGTAGCTATGCTAACTTAGCTAGCAGTAAGTAGAAACAGCATGGCTGTTGAGGGGATTCAGCACACTTACCCGTGCGTTTCGTATGTTCATTTTGCTAGCTTGTTATGTGGACTACGGAGACAAAAGTAAAATATACAACACGGACCAATTAATTCATAATAATAACGCTTAGGTTACAGGGTTTTAAAGAGCTTCTCTCGCTAGCTTGCTAAACCGAGTAGCTAGCAAGGAAGAGAGGGGAGGAAGGAGCGTGCCACAATAACGTCAGACACTTCCGGTCACAGTGTGCCCTGGGACTTCACAGTAAAATTCGTAACATATATGTGAGGCACGAAAGCATGCCATCTATCACTTTTATTATGAAGAATGCCTTCACGTCGATAAAAACCCGGATGTTATGTTGTTGGCTATTGTACATAGTTGCCTACTTTATACACCTGCAGGAATTTCCGGCTGTTCAAGCAAGACAGGCAAAACGGGTTACTGCTGTGGGGCCCCGGATCCCTAGGGTCCCCACAAAACCCCGGATTCATTGTGTGCCAATTAGTTGTTACAACGTTACAAAGAACAACACCAAATCAATTAAATGAGTCGTGTCTAATTACCTGTCTTGTGGTCCTGCCAAGTTTTTTATTTGTATATCGCAACAAATCACAAATTTGTTGTGTAAAATCACAAACAAGACTTTTGGTTGTTTTTTAGTTTAGCTGTGCTTGTGTGATCTTTACTCTTTAATATAGTTAAATAAACACATTTTTCCAACTAATCTGCATGGGGCTAAGCAGTATTATTCCTGCAAAATACTAGGCTACTGGTCTCTTTGCCTGTAATGAAGCTGCCATCTGAATCTGCTTTGTACTCTGTGCTTTGATGGGAACTTTAGGGGTCAGCCTACACACAATGCACAGAGGATGGGAGTTGGAGTCAGTAGAGGCCAAAAAGCAAACTTTTGCTCTGGAGCCCCCTTTCAAGTCAACATAACTCTAAACTGATTTAACAGGTATTTCTTATGATTACATTTTTATGTAGCCTTGATTCAGTGTACCACGCATCTCCACTGGGTTTTAACAGATCTGGGAAAACTGCATTTTCCAAGTCTGCACCTTGGACATGGAACAACCTTCAAGCAGATCCAAATTAGACACACATATATCCATTGATCAATTTAAGGCCATCATAAAGAATGTAGTGATAGAGATGTGCTTGTTTTTCTTAAGAGGCCACATGTTTGAATAGTTGTTGTTGTTTTACTGTGGATTTCAGTATTATATGTTGTATTTGTTGCATTTTAATTAGTTTTGAGTGGCTGTTACCTTGGCCAGGTCTCCCTTATAAATTTAATCTCAATATAACTTTCTGGTTAAGTAAAAGCAAAGAAGAAGAAAAATGTGTTTTGGATAAGTCCATGTTAAGTCTAGTCAAAGTCTTTGAGGGAAGACTCATGACATATCATAGATTTTCATATTTAAAGGCATTCAGGTCTCTGAGTGCTTACCATTGAAATAATCATAAATCATCCTTCTTTTTCTTTTAAAGTAGCCTATTTAAAGCTTGATAGTGTTCTCGGAGACCAGGCTTTTTCAGACCCTAATAATTGAAGATGCGTGACCATGCAAGGTTTGTTAAAGTCAGTGAGGGCCTAAATTGTGTTTTTGCCCAGGGGACCCCCTAAAGTGAGTTAATCTTGCCATGGTTGACACCAGGGTTGTAAGACAGTACAAGCAGTGCAGTAGCACTTGGGCCCATGGGACAGGGGGGCCCATAAAGCCGGCCATCCAACAGCATGGTGACAGAGGACAGGCTCTTGAAACTAATTGAGATTACCACCTCAGAAATACAACAATGTTCAAAGAAAAACTCATGTTAGATTTAAACAGTGGGGCCAGCTACATGCGCCATCATAAGACAAACCAGTCTCCATCTTTTTTTTAGCAATCTATTCAACAATAAAAGTATATGCTTATTCTACATAAACTATAAAACCACAAACTAAAATAACTAAAAACTAAAATAAGTAAACTGAATACTTTTTACATTTTATTTGGTATTGTTGTCATATACAGATTTGTGCTTATGATTGCTGAATAAGTATATGTATGTTGATGCTGTGCAATGTCAAGCTGTAGCTAGTTTAGATGCAAAATCTTGCACTAGGGCCCATCATAGTAACATGCACATGGGGCCTGTAACTATCATACACCACTGATTAACACAGTAAACTACAAGCACAATATCCTGTCCTCTGAGTACTGAAGGGTGTTTTTGATCCTTTATAAATAATTTTCAGACCATCATCAACAATGAATCTCATTCCTTTTAAATTTTGTATATAATCCCTAAACCCTATTTAACCCCTTTTTTCTTATAGACTTCACAATGTTTTGGATTTGGATATTATAACTTATAGATCATCCCACTGGCTGGTATCATAGCCTGCTGTATATTTTATAATTTACTGTGACAAGATCAGATCCTTCTTTCAATCATTAATTTTTTTGTGCTGCTGTATAAAATAACCAAATCCCATAGCAGCAGCCTAACTGGCCAGTATATGCTCGCACTTCAGGTAAAGTACCTGCTGACATCCAATCAGCGGTGCAATATGCAAATAATTCAGGTGTCAACAGGGAGGGACTGTACAGGAAATATTGTGAGAATAACACCGGTGTGCGAGGCGGTGTATTCACCATTTCACGGGTGTGATGCTTAAAAAAAGACCTTCGGATTAATTCAGAGGAAGATGAAAGCTTTCACATGTCAGATAAGGACTCTGGTGGGTTGTAGACTGATGACGAGATAAGACTGTCAACCTGCTGCTGTTTCTCAGAGATGTAAAAGTTATGGTTGTGAAATGTAAACATAAAAGTTTTCGGAGAAACGGAAAAAGAGCGACTTTGTGGTTGAAAAAGCGCTTTTCCGGATGGAGACGGACCTGAGGCTGGAGTCAAGTTTATGGGTCGGGAATAAAAGATACCGGGCTGTTCTGACAGGCTGGCACTTCAACTGGACCGAGGTGGATAAGAAGAACCGGGACAAGAAAACAAGTAGGTGGCTCCTTACTCTCCCAGACATCATCCATCTATAATGTCTATAGACTATAGCATCACATAATGTAATATAATGATAATAATGTTTACATACGGCACCATAATAAGCTATACATAATAAGCTATTACTGCACGCGCACACAGGGGAATACTCTTACAGTCACGTTGTTGCCATGTAACAAGTGCAAAGCCACAACCTGTTTCCTGCTTTCACTGAACAGGCACACTATCATGATGAGAAACAAACAAGGCAGTATTATTTCTATAGAGGTAGCCAAGGAAACACCATGAACAAAACAATATTTGATACACCATACATGTAGACCAACTAAATTTTGGACCATTAGCCTACAGGGAGGGTTTAATTAATTAGCCCATGGCTGCTTTCAGAAAACACGTAGAACAAGTTCAGCAGCACAAACATGACACACAACCTTCTGAGACAGCTCATTGAAAACACGAACTATAAGAAACTCACACACCTCCTGGCATTTTTCCTCAACTGCACAATGCCTCTGCCTTTATGTGGCTGTCATTCATGTACACAGAGTGTGTACTGTGGGATCTGCTGTCACTACAGAGAAAAATCTGATAAAAGTTTTACAGAAATGTGTGTGTCTTTTGTGGGGCAACACACTTCTGGTGCTCAAACAAACACACAAACAAACAAAACCATAATGACGATACATTTTAGCACACCATACAGTGTGCTCTCTTTGACGTGTTCAAAAAGCCCTAAAAATATTGACCAAAAGACACAGTAATGTTTTACATGCTTCACACAAGCTGTATCATCCAAATCTCTCTGACGCAGTGAGGCTCCAAAACTGTTGTTGAACACCACCTACATCAAGAATTCCAATATATTATCTCCATGGCCTTGGTTTAATCAATATTTGTTATCAGGAGCTACTATCTCTCAAAGCCATAAACCAGATAAGTAAGTCTCAAACTCAAGTATAAAGTCAGACACAGTCAATGGCTGGGTCCGAAATGCTGTGCTAACATACTGTTTAGTAGGGTAAAACAGTATGTGAGAGGTTTTAGTTTGTCCGTAACCTTAGAATAAAAACATACAGTATGTGAATTATATACTATTTCTGGCAAAATATTATATTATAGTAACACTGGACACTACGCCGCCATAAATATCGTCGTCAATGGCGTTAGCGTTCCTAACAGACATTGACCAAGACAGCTCTGTAACATCAATAATGCTCCAGTCAAGTGTCCGTATGAAAGAAGTGTAAGATTTCACTTTGCTAGGCGTAATACAGTTATAAAAGTAGAACTTAGGTTGGCATGGGTTACGATGGTTACACATCTCCAACCAGATCTGAGGAGGTGACGTGATAATTACAGCTCAGTGCGTCTGAAAAGATACATACCATCTTTACTTACACAAAAGTATGTCGGATGATAGAACACATATGGGGTATGTAGCCTAGTGCATAGTGTGCAGTTTTAAATGCAGCAAATAAATGGGAGCCTGAATTTGTGGACCTACAGAATCTTTATCTTTTTCATCCCCTAATAAGCTTTATTCTATTGTAGTGTTCTCAGTTCTGAAACACAAAAGTCATCCATATACTCAGGACATTCCCCTGGGTGCTCTCGCTGTCATCTATAACATCTTTCCCAATTTGCTGTCTATGGAGCAGCTCCAGATTTTATACCCTATGACATCACAGATTTGAGTTTTAGCACTCTTTTGGTTGTTTTTGTGAGAGAGTCGCTCATGTTAACTAATATTTTTGTACTGTCTTGAACCATAGTAATAACATGTATGAATTTTGAAAATAGGCATACTTCCCCTTTAAGGCAGACATTAAGTTATTTTTTATAGGCTAGGTATGAGTAATAATCTGGATAGTGGCCCCACTCTTATTAGGTGTGCCAGTGAGTCACCATGCATAATATCAGGACACTGAACCTGAAGCTGCCAAATATAATGCAGCCATCATCAACATTATTAGTAACACCTGTGTTTTTCCTACAAGAGATTCCCGGCATTGGAACAACTAATTGTGATGCAGCCATTATTCATTTTACACCTGTGCTTTGACACCTGCTTTGAAAAGTAAACATGTGTGAGGGAGGTCTGCAGTCTTTTCCAGTGGTTTAAATATTCTATTCATGGTATGCAAAGAAGCACTGATGTTTTAGTGCTGTGTGTGTGTGTGTCTGTGTGATTAAAGTTTCAGTACCTGTGGCG